CAGAGCGGGCTCGGCCACGTGTACCGCGAGCTGCCAGCTGTGCTTGCAAGGCTTGGATCCTTGCCCGGGAAGCCTTGGATAGGGAACAGTGTTGCTTTTGGGCTTGTTTAGTATTAACTCACCTTTAGCAAAAGGGCTTCGATCCTTTGCTGCACATCATGAGATCCTTCTGCTGGGGAAGCCATGGAGTTGTAAGCAAGGAGGGGCACTGCTTCTATCAAGGAGTCGCAAGACCAAAGCCGGGAGGTCATAGGACCCGAACCTGGAAACAAACAAGCTCTCGAGCCTGGACATGGATTCATGATATGTCAAAGGTTCTGCAAGAGAAACCACGTGTGTTCAGCGGCTCCTGGGACTTCGCCCCGATTCGAATGCATTGGAATGGCTTTTTGCACCTGTAATGCAATCTATCCGAATTGTGCAGATTGGCAACTGGGAAATGCATCCGATCAGGAAGGTTTCTGTCCGAAGTGAATTTTGGGTTTGATACGCTTTTTGAGTTTGCGCCCGGTTGCGGGTATTTGCGCCCGGGTTGTGCTTATTTGCGCCCGAGTTGCGGGTAAAAGTGCCCGAGCAAATTGCCAACATCCTACATAAAACCCCCAAGAATGAAATAAGTCCGGAGTTTTGTCTTCCTGCACAGATGGCTCCAGAACAGCCCGAATTTCTACGGCAGTGCACTCAGCTGGCTGGGTTCCTACTGCCCTGGCTAGAGCTTGCCTCCAGCTCTTGTAAGTCTGTCCGTAGCTCACGGGAGCCACAGGCCTGGGCGAGCCCCAAGCCACAACACCCACTTACAATATTGCACTCGAGAAGCAGCACGATTAGGATCATGCTGTTTGCAGCTTTGAGCCTTTGAGCCAGCTTAGGGTTAGGGCTTAGGGGTTCGTAGGATTCAGGGTTTAGGCTTGGGTTGCGGGGGCTTTGGGGTTTTGGACTTCTGCGGCTTTACAGACTTTGGTGATATAGGGCTTGGGGTGCTGGGTTAAAGGTTTTAAGCTCACTTGGGACTTCGGTGGTCACGGCCTTGTTCGGCATCAAAGCTTCTTCTTGGGCCCAGCATTCATTATCCAATCTCGATTCGAACTCGATCCTATATTATAACCCCAAAAGCCCCAAGCCCCGAACCTGTAGCCCCTAAGACCTTGACAGCCGCTGCTGGGTCTCGTAGACCCGAGACAAGCACAGGTGGAGGCAAACGATGCGGAGGTTGCAAGACTTATGGAGGCCTGTGTTTTGTTTCGGGTTTAGAGGATATAATTTCACTCTCGGTTGTGGCCTATGGTTTTCGGGGCACTAGCCGGTTGGGGTACGTTCGGGGACTTAATACTGCTGGGCTGGGTTTGCTGGTGCCGGTTCAGAGCTTGTTGGCTGCTGGGACTTGAGGAGAATTTTGTTTTGTGAAAGGATCTAGGCTTTATCGGGTTTGGTGTCCTGGGTGCTTCTGCTCCGGGAACCCACAGACAAGGCTTGACTTAGCTAGTAGCTATATGAGTATATATATATATATGTGTAGACTATATATATATATAAATATTAGATATCATATATTCTAAAAAATATTTAAGAGTATAGCAAGACCAGCAGCAGTATAATAGAACTGGTGCCAGCAGCAGCAGCAGCAGTAAAAGAAATAAATGGACCGGGGTGTGTATTTTATGGTAACACAGTCTATCACTAGCTATATATATAGAGGAGCTAATGTATGTAGTAGTGGCTCGGTAGTATAGGTTATATAGTAGTAGTAGTAGTAGTAGTAGTAGTAGTAGTAGTGGTAGTGGTAGTAGTAGATTATATATATACATTAGGTAGTACCGTGGTGGTGTGGCGGTGGTGATGGCGGTGGTGGTGGTGGCGGCGGCGGTGGTGCTGGTGGTGGGTGGTTGGTAGAGGTGGTGTGACGATAGCAGAAGAAGCAACCTAAAACCCGAACCCTCCACAACCTGGGAAAAGCAGGAAACCCCAAATAATAGCCCAAAGCTCCGATTCCGAAGCCCATCCTCCAAAGCCCAAACCCAGCCCCTTATTAGCTCCAACCCACAAAGCTTACTGAACTCCCAGGCATTATTAAACCACGAACCCAAACATTTCCCAAGCCGCCCAACCGCCTAGTCCCCGAAAACCACGACCAAAAAGCCCATGCCACCCGAACCCAAAGCTTAAGCTCTGCCCTACATCGTCAAAAAGCCCAAGCCCCCAAACCCCAAGCCTCAAATCCAAAAGCTTTAGTCGAAAACAATATAATTCCTCAAGCCCTATATGTGCTTTCAGCAGCCACATGCAGCCCATGCTACCTGGAGCAGCACCTCGTTCTTGAATGCTTGCATCTCATCGACCCAGGAGTCCGGGATCCTGGGATCATTGCAGTATATGTATGTGTACTTGAAGCCAGCTCTGGAAAACCCAGTTAACAATAATGGCCCTTTGCGTTCAAGCGGCTCAACATTTTTGCAGTGATAGAGGTAGAGGAATACTTCATGAATCCGGCTATCAATCCACATGTCCCCTAGAGGAAGACTGGCAAAGATTTGTTTGTCTGTGCAGCCCACATCGACATCTGTTCGGCCCCTACATTCGGGCCGCTGGCACAGCGGAAGCTGTCGCCATTTTTCATACACCTCCAGCAGAGCCCTCCCGAAGCGGGCAGTGTAGGCCCTTAGCAGGAAGCCGCGGTATGAGAGGTTTAGGGGTTTAGGGTTTGGGGGTTTCGGGTTTTTAGTGCACATGCGTTCTTGGCCAGGTGGCCCAGACTTCTTCAGGGCATCCTTGTTCCCGCTGAAGCAGGACCGGCCGTTCTTGTCTATGAACCTACCTTGGCTGCACTTTTTTTAAAAAGCTAGTTGGTAATGCTATAGGTGCTATATAATTAATACGAGACACGGACTGTAGCCACTTTCGATTTCGAACGTCGCTCAGTTTTGGTCAGCTTGCCCTTGTCCAGCATGGATATTGTAGGCATTGGGGACATAATCAGCGTTCGTTTTGGGGTAGGGGCATCGAAATGCATCATCCAATGGGCTTGCTGGTACACCTACAGGGTCATGGGTGCACAGATCATGAGCCTGCATGCAGCTAGTTTGTAAGTACTGACCTTGCAGACACGGTTCACCAGCCAATCCCATCGTTGGTGCTTGGGCAGCAGGGATTGCGAGGGTTGTTCAACAATCCAGGTTGCGTGGCGGCTCAGCATCAATAATATGAGTAGGACAAGCCTCAGCTAGCTGAATGCAAACTCCGATAAGATTCCTGCCCATCCCTATACTGATTGGTTTATGTAGCTGGCTCGTATTGGCTAGTGACCGGGATACCAAGCAGTTGTTGGCATCAACCCACGATAACCCACATCGACCCATCGGGTTCACAGTGCTTCGCATACTTGTAGAGCGTGCCGGCAGGCCCCAGCTGCTGCAGTCGGGGCCTATGACGTTGACAGCATCCACAACCTGGTTCATAACCGCGTACATAGCAATCCTTGGTTTTGAAGGTGTAGCACCTGGAGTAGCTTTACAACACACGGGGCTATTCCAGATGCTTTTGTTGGTGGTGGTGGCGGGTGGCTAGGTTTGGGGTTTGGGGTATGGGAGACTTATATAGGGTTTGGGGGGTTTTAGGACCCCGGATTTGATTAATTTGTGCACGGGTTTACAGGTTGGGATTTAGGATTTTTGTGGCCTTCATATGTATATAGTCATCCCGGGCGCTTTCGGGCTGCTGTAGACGATGCACCCTACAGCTCCCAAAGCCCAACAAACAAAACCGCCCGTGTAAAATTAAAACCCTTACACCACCCAACTACATAAAGGCACCTAACAAAACTTGAACCTGAAGCCCATAACAAGTATCCCTGGAACTTTGGATCTTGGACCCTTGCAAGGCACTGAAACCTAAAGGTCCGAAATCTTCGCAAGCTAGCAAGTCGCACAGACAGGGCCCTCAATTTCATATAGTGCATGCTAGCTATTGCAGGCAAACCTCGTGAACCCTTTGTTCCCGATGAAGTCCATACCATCGCCATAGAGTTTGTCGAAACTCATAGTTTTGTAGCCGGCTGCGTGCCTAAGGTTCCATCGGTACATATAAGATTCACTGCAGTGATATGCATGCAGAATCTATACATACAACCGGAGAATATTGCATAAGGGTCCAACCACACCTTGGTGACTGCAGCCTCACCTGCAAAAATCTCGAAGAACTCCACGTTGCTCTGGAAGGTCAGGGTGGTCATCCACCGTAGCAGCAACACCTGGGCCGAGGGCAAGTGTCTGCTTTTATAATTGCATGTAGACTGGGAAACACATCGAAGGCGTAGGCAGCAGGCTGTTGCGATGAATACCTAGCAGGTAGCACACCCCGGGTAGATGTGTGCAAACAAGACGGACTTCTAGGATTAGGATTGTAGGTGCAAGTAAACACCAGATATCCCGCCTTGGGTGCATCCAGTTGCACCAGATTGACAAGCAAAGATTCATGTGAATCCATGGTGCAGGCTTCAAGATCTAGAGCCACTGAACCGAAACACTCCCAAGTTCCGGTCATGTACTTTCAGAAACAACTCGGTCCCTCATATTGTCAGCTTGCAACGAAACAGCTCACAATTGCATGGAAGCTTGCAAAGGTGCACAGCGGGGAGATATGGCCTTGGATGTTAGCACGAACCTGCCAGCCTTCAGGACGAGGCGGCATCCTGGCAAAGGAAGCATGAGTGAGCTTATGCGAGATTGTGACGATAGCATGCACATATGAAGTTCTGCAGAAGCACCATTTGATCGTGATGGCACATCCACTCACACTCTGGAACTCATCGGGTCGGTGTTCTCACCGACTAGCAAGAAACTTGTAAAGCCCCGTTGGCAAAGATTGCAGGCAACACTATATTGGTTGTCACAATCAGTGCTCCCACCCCGCCCCTAATCATAGCTGGCTCGTTTGCAGGCAAACGTACAAAACCGACCATCCGGATCGCGAGCTTGATCACATCGACATCCAAGCCGTGAGCTTGGTCAATCCGTGGCCTTGTATGCCTTGGCTGCTGGCTAGAATATAGATGGCACAATGCTGGTAGATACACACATACACGTATACATGTCGCCACAAGCATCTGACTGTGATATATGCACATACAAGACACATCCTGTGCTGCTTTCTTGCAGGCTTGAAGTGGCTTGCCTTCACTCGTAGCCTGTGCCATTGCTTTGTGGTAGGCCACAGATTTCCTCGACTTTTTCGCTTTCTGCTCTGCAACCTTATCATCGATACCCTTGCTCTTGCTGCTAAGACCCCGCGTTGTCTTGGAAACCTCGGCCTTTGTAGCCTTTGCAGGCTTTGCGCTGTTCTTTGCCATTGCTTTGGGCTTTGCCTTTGCCTTAGACTTATACTCCTTTGCAGCCGTGTCGTTCTTTACGCTGGGGCCTCGCTTCCTCCCGGTCTTGGGCTTGGGTTCCTCTTCGTCCTCTTCCTCCTCTGTCTTCGCTTTCGGGCCTCCCTTCCTCCCGATCTTGGGCTTGGGTTCCTCTCCGTCCTCTTCCTCCTCCACTGCCTCCGACACCTCATCGGCTTCACTTTCATCAGGCTCTGTAGGGGTGAGTGCTGCTTTGCTCGTCTCGTCCTCCTCCTCATGCACTGTGCGCTTGCGGCCCCGTCCATTCCCCTTTCCCCCACCCCGCCCACGGCCACGGCCTCGGCCCCTGCCCCGGGGCTCTGCTTCTCCAGCCTGTTGCAGTGTTACATCAAGAGGCTCTTCAGCCCCTGCCTCACACAGCACTTTCTTTGTCGTCTTTGCAGGCTTTGGCACTGCAAGCTGTTGCTCCTTTGGCGACAGGGGCTTGAAAGTGTCCTTGTCGGGACACTCAGGTAGCTTGTCTTCCAATACCTCGGGCACATACAGAGTGCGTATTTAGGTTCAATTCCAGGTAGACACTATATGCACTAGGCGGAATTCAGCTAGGGCACTTTCTCGGCGCCAGCACGTTCATCATCCGTGTAGTGCACAGTCCCAAGGCTGACACCATCATCGTCAGAGTTAGCTGCGGCCCCTTCATCATCAGAAACACGCATCGTCGGCTCGCGCTCTTTCGCTTGACCCTCCGGAATCTTTAGAGGTTCATCCCCAGGACTCACCAGAACCGATCCTGTGCCAAGGTCCTTGTCCGTGCACGACAGCACTTGGCCGTCGAGGCCAGCCAAGTCCATGTCCATCGGCAGGGTGTCCACGTTATCCAAACCTGGGCTGAGTCATGTGAGCTTGTTTTGGGGGATATGTGTCAAACTCGAGTGCATACAGATAAATTTAATATATCCTGGGCACACATATAGCCACTATCATCAGCAGCCCGCTGGGGCTGCTGGTGGTCAGCCTCATGTGTGATACATGGCCTCTTGTCTGGGTCCTTGGAAAGCTCCAGCTCATAGTCTAGAGATCGCTTCGGGTTCATGGGTGGTAGCTTCTTGAACATGCTGCTGCTGCTGCTAGCCCCAGATCCACATTCCGGGGGAGGCAAAACCTCGCCGACGAACTCCATCCTAGTCTCCAATGACTCCATCTTAGCCTGCAAGAGATCAGCCTCTTCTTGGGCCAGAAGCCTTTGCAGCTCCCCCTCCTCAGCCTGGAGCAACAACTCCTCCAAGCTTAACTGCTCTGCAAGCAGCTCTGCCTCTAGGTCCTGGCCAATCTGCTCGTCATCTTCTTCGGCTTGCAAGGCCTGGGCAAGCCTCAGACTAGCGGCCTGACTGGCAGCATCATCTGCATCTGCAGATGCAGCCTGTTCAACATCTAAAGCGTTGCAGGGGAAGGACTTTACTTACCTTCCGAGTGGGTGGTCTTTAAACTTTTTGGCGATTGTGTATTTTCTTGATAGATAATTGTTTGTAGGTCAAACGACGATAGTGAGATTCCGATTAGGCATAGGTGATTAGGGAAGCAGGAGGGGGTGATTTCGAGCGGGGGGGGTGGGGGCTTAATATTCAT